CACATAGATAATCAATAATTTATCTACACTTGATTGATACTCACAAATATATATATGGATCTTTTAACACAGACACACACCACTTTGATTTTTGACTCACTCGGTGCTTGCTTGCTGTATGCTTGCGGACTTTACCAAGCTTTCACAATAAACTATCTCTATAACTGATTTTTGGGCTTTTTAATGATCTCGAGTAAATCGATAATTCTACTAGGAGATTAAGCCTGTATTAAATACTCGGTTAATGAGATATCTTTATTTGGAGTCGAATATAGAGGAAATTTATCTCAACAAACTTGGTTAACCTCTACAGGATAACGTCTAACTCCCAGATTTTAGCTAAAATATTAGTCAACCTAGTCGCTAAAACTAGACCACCATCTTTAAAGACCTCTGGGGCCAATCCATCTGGACCAGATGCCCTTCCTCGTTTCAGATTAACTATAGCCTTTTGAACTTCAGTTAGAGATGGGGGACCTTCTTCAATGTTCCATTCATACTGTCTGGGAATGGAGGGTAGTTGTAGAGTAGCTGAAGGCCAGTTAAACTGCTCCTTAAAGTGTTCCGCCCATCGTTCTAAGCGTCTGGACTGGGAGCAGATGAGAGTGTCGTCTTTTTCCGAAATGGTCTGACTTACACTTGATTTATTAATTCCAGTTTCTTTTATTAGTCTGTAGAGTTGTCTCGTGTTCCCTATAATCGCCGCCTTTTCCATCTCTTTTGCTTTCGTTGCCCACCACTGCTCACGATCATTCTTTAGACTTTTGCTTAATCTAGATCTGATTTGTTTACGCTCCTCATCGTATTCAAAACCTGATGGGATGAGTTTGCGAGAATCTATCAGTGCAATAGACCTTGACGAAATCCATTGGTTTTTTGTAACCATTTGGTTTAAATCACTGGTAGATGTCACTGCTGTTTCCACAGCTGCTTGTATGTCTTTCCAATCAACATCGGGGTCAGCCTCGTTTTCAGAACTACCTAAGTGTGACCTCAGTTGTTCTTGGAACCTACTTTTGGTTTCCTCATTACTCAATTCGGTTCTAATGGGTCTTTTTTGTGTGGCTCTTTTGCGTTCAGTGAGGCGCAAGCAGATGCGTGCTCGTGCTAGGGCATGGTCAGAGTCCAAGCAGGTACCCCAGAATGAGCGACAATCTTCTATTGACCCTCTCCAACGATGACTGATGGCAATATAGTCTATTTGAGTCCATCGTTGGTTTGGTGCAGGGGGTCGCCATGTTGGACGATGTCTCTCCTTATGCTTAAAATTTGTGTTTGCTAAAAATAAACGATTGTCTGAGCACAGTTGCAGCAGACGATCACCATTATCTGTTCGCTGTGCCGGAATACTAAAATACCCACCTAAATGTCTTTCTGTTTGGTTTAAGCTACCTACCTGGGCATTAAAGTCGCCTGCTACGAGTACTATGTCTGAACGTTTAGCTTTCTGAAGAAGTTCAGACAGCATTCTGTAAAATTCATCTTTCACTTCATCCGAACTGCAGTCAGTGGGAGCGTAGGCAGAAACGACGAAAAGGCAACGACGTGTGTCCCTATCCTTCCGAGTTCTTATGGAGCCGTTTAGCCGAACAGCGCATAGACGACTGTTAACGGGAATCCACTCTAACAGCGCTTGTTCCGCCCTCATGCTAAGTGCTATGCCTACACCTACCAGTCCACGAGAACTAGCCATCGGGTCGCCAGATACACGGAATGTGTATCTCGTTGGCTCTCCGTTTTGCCGAGGTGAGGTCAAGTGAATGACCACACTAGGATCCTGTATGCGTGTTTCGGAGACACAGCATACATCAATGGTACGAGATTCTAAGGTTTTAGCCAAGGAAGCCTGCTGACCGATTTGGCATAGTGTGCGTACGTTGAAGGCTCCAATGTATAGTTTGGAGCGAGGTTTCAATAGACCTGGGACAGTGTTTTGAGCACTAGAATCGTTGACTGTGGTGAAACTTGAGGAGGAAGCTAAAAGAGGAAGTTTAGTGTATAAAGTCGATGTAGGAGGAATAATAGGAATTGAAGAGGGAGGTTGATTATGAATACAGTGGTCTTGAGTGCTGTTAGAGGTATGAGGGCGGTTATCACTTCTCGGTTGCCCACACCGTGGAAGGGTTCTGTTGGAGGTACCTGAAAAGGAAATTGGATTAGAGGTGGTCATAGTGACCTGAGAGCGTGACCGCAGTGCCCAAGGGACAGCTGCTTGAGGTCGGTCACACACGACCTTTTTATGAGTGATTTTTGTGTTAGCTCCGTACTTGTTGAGTCCTTACCGCCGGAGACGGATATCCGTGGGATAAGGCGAGGTGTGCATTTTTAGGGTTGACCTTTTCTAACCCCACCCCTCTTTGTGAGAAGGCAGCATCGCTGTCATGCTGGTTGTCTGAAGGAAATACCTTACCGCTGTCACACCTCTGTACAGTCAGCAGTACGACTTCGCCTTCGGACCTTGGTTTTGTTGCTTTTAGTCTTACCGCTCTTCAACCGACCTGTCTGGCATGGTAGGACCTTGAGGAACGGTTGTTCCAGCCAGTATAGCTCAGTTGCTTCACCACGATAGGTAAGCCTGACCACCACGTCAAGGTAGCAACAACGGTCAGGGCGAACATAGCCGTCTTTTATATGCGATAACGAGAGTTCGCTACCTCATCGATACTGGCGCAGAAGTTAGCGTTCTCCCAGCGAATTCCAACGACCAGCTTCACGAATCAGTTTTAAATCTACAGGCTGCAAACGGAAAGCCTATCGCTACATATGGCCAAATGTATGTTTATCTTAACATGGGTTTACGCAAACCCATTCACTGGATCTTTGTTGTTGCGGATGTTTCTATGCCAATCATTGGTATGGACCTTCTACAGCACCTCAACTTAATTATCGATACGCGCAAACGGAGGCTAGTAGATGGAAATACTAATTTATCTGTTTGCCTGACCTCTTTTTCTGGTTGCAGGTTATCTCCAGTCACTATTAAGCACACTACAGACTCCTTCTATCAACCAATACTCGATAAGTATTCTGGCATTTACCAATCGCAATCGAAATTGTCGTGTGTAACCAGCAACGTTACGCATCACATCACGACTACAGGACCACCTGTATTCTCTAAAGCACGCCGACTGGCCCCCGAGAAGTTAAGATTGGCGAAAAACGAATTCGAACATATGATAGACTTAGGAATCATACGACCGTCAAATAGCCCATGGGCATCTCCGTCGCACATGGTCCCTAAAAAGGACAGCAACGATTGGCGTCCAACTGGTGATTATCGGCGATTGGATGCAAAAACCATTCCCGATCGTTACTCGTTGCCTCACATTCACGACTCGACAGCCACCTTAAGGGTACAACTGTCTTTTCGAAAATCGACTTGATTAAAGCGTATAACCAAATTCCTATGGCCACTGACGACATTCCGAAAACCGCTATTATAGCGCCCTTCGGACTCTATGAATTTTTGCGAATGCCTTTCGGTCTAAGAAACGCGGCACTGACTTTTCAAAGGTTCATAGATGACGTATTTCGAGGTCTCAACTTCGTACATGCGTATGTTGATGACTGCCTAATAGCAAGTCCGGATAGAGAATCGCATCTCCAGCATGTGGACCTTGTGTTTGACCGACCACAAAAACATGGCATTACTGTAAACATTCAGAAATGCCAAATCCGAACCGACTCCTTAGACTTCTTAGGACACACTATCGATGCGCAAGGTATCCGACCCCTTAGAACAAAAGTGGCGGCCATTCTGGATTACCCAGAACAGACCACCATCAAAAAATTGCGCACGTTTAACGGTCTGGTAAGTTTCTATAGACGGTTCATACCGAAATGCGCGTTACTTATGAAACCCCTTACCGACCAACTTCGTGGAAATGCGAAATCCATCAATCTGGATGACACTGCACGAAAAGCATTCTCCACGGTTAAGGGAGGTATTGCTCCGGCGACCATGCTTGCTCATCAGGACCCTGAAGCGCCCATTAGTATCGCAGTAAACGCATCCGACTCAGCAATCGGAGCAGTCTTGCAACAATGGGTTAACCACTCCTGGCAACCTTTGGCATTTTTTCTAGACGGTCGCTAGACACTGAATCGAGGTACAGCACATTCGGTAGGGAACTCCTAGCTATGTATTGTGCTGTCCGGCATTTTCAACACCATATCAAAGGCCGTGAATTCACCATTTTTTACCGATCATAAACCACTTACTTTCTCCTTAAGCTCATCTTCAGACAAGTACTCACCACGTGAGTCTCGACAACTGGACTACATTTCGCAGTTTACTTCAGATATTCGACACATTTCTGGAGCGAACAATGTAGTTGCAGACGCCTTGTCTCGTATAAATTCCTTGAACAGTTTCCAAGGGATCGACCTTTTAAATTCGCCCAACTTCAAAAAGAAGACAGTGATCTTCAGCACGAGTTGTCCTCAACAACACTTAAACTGCGAATTAAATAGATGGGAACAGGGGACGAAACCTTACTTTGTGACACATCTACAGGTAGGGATCGTCCGATCGTGCCGAAACAATATCGACGCAACGTCTTCAATACGTTGCACAAACTTTCTCATCCAGGTGTTCATGCGACCATCAAGCTTATAGCAGAACGGTTTTGCTGGCCTAGTATGAATAAAGACGTGAGGGAGTGGGCACGCTCCTGTGTAAGCTGCCAGAAATCTAAGGTGATTAGACATAACAAATGTCCACTAGGCTCGTTTAAAACTCCCGATGCTCGCTTCGACCATGTTCATTTGTATTTGGTAGGACCTTTACCAGATTCAAAGTGATATTCTTATCTCTTAACCTGCGTAAACCGTTTTACTTGATGGCCAGAAGCAGTTCCCATCAAAGACACTACTGCTGAAACAGTGGCCGGCGCCTTCGTCGAACGATGGGTAGCAAACTTCGGCTGCCCAACAAAAATCACTACAGATCGTGGACGTCAGTTTGAATCTGAACTTTTCCGTTGTCTGACCGCGAAATCAGGAATCACTCGCTTCCGAACGACGGCCTACCACCCACAAGCAAACGGGTTAGTAGAACGTTTTCACTTACAACTAAAAGCGTCACTATCAGCCTCAAACATTTCTCAGTGGACTGACGCTCTACCACTCGTCTTACTAGGTATTCGCAATGCAGTGAAAGTTGACATTGGATACTCTGCGTCTCAACTCGTTTATGGTACGACCCTTCGACTTCCGGGAGAATTCGTGGATCCTTCATCCTCTTCGATGAACATGGATCCAACCTCCTACGCGAACAGGCTTACAAACGCAATGCGTTCAGTTAAACCTGTTTTCACTCGACCACAATCAACTAATGTTTTCGTTCAACCTGACTTACGATGTACTACACACGTCTTTGTACGTCGAGACTCGCATCGACGACCTCTCGAATCAACATATGAAGGACCTTTCAGAGTTCTTCAACGCGAATCTAAGTACTATATAATCGATAAGAACGGAACCAACGATAGCATCAGCATCGATCGCCTCAAAGCAGCGTATTTAGAAGGAAATCCTATTCACGTCGATTTTCCTTCAATACAATCGCACGAAACAACTTCTGCCCTTATAATACCTCAATCGACAGCCAACACCCACGTTGATACTTCGGCGGTATTTGAAAGTAAACTCAAAACAACGCGTTCTGGAAGAAGAGTAAGATTTCCAGAACATTTGAACGATTACTGCACGTAAGATACTAGATGACATTTTATATCGTCTCGATTTTCCCTTGTACTATATATAATTTATTATATTTTTAAAAAACCGAATTTAATATGCTTATATGTTTTTATTATTTTTTATTTCAAAAAATAATAATAATAAAGATATAAAAATCCTTGTTTTACGCTATTACGTGAGCATGAGTTTATTTTCTTTGTTTTCGCCCGCTTTATGTTTTCACGCGCGTATGAGTGTATTTCTACATGCATTTACATATATTTTTCTTTTCCAGGACAGCTAGAAAAGACGATAAAAGAACGATGAAGTTTGCAAGAAACAGAAATCTTCACTGCACCTATGAAACGACTTAAATACACTGCACTTGGTGACTCTTGACATCAAATGTGGCGTGTTGGTCTGATCCGCTCAGCCAGAAAATACTGTAAGTCATTTAGTTTCATGAGATGGACCTGAAGCGAGAATTTGTAGATAAACAATGTTATTTGCATCTGCCTTTCTGTTTTCCGACTTGCGTCAGCTTGACCTTCGAGGCCTCCTTCTCGTTCTTCCAAAGACTAACTCTGGAAGCATTGTTTAGTACCTCAATTTTTGCGAACGTATTGCAATTATGTGGTAAAGGTCATTTGTTATGTCTGACATTCTAGATAACATCTGGTCAGAAGTAATGCCTACCATTATCTCCAGTTTTTTGGCTGTATGGGATGATAGTATTCCCCAGTCTAGTAGCTTCGAATCAGTTTGTAGCATGAAATCTCGCTGAACACTGCAGATTGCCTACATGATATTGGGACTAATCCCTCATAACATCAAATTTTCTCCGCCTAACTATTGCCGTAGTCATTAGTTTTTTCAACACATTACCCCTGTGGCATACGCTACTTAATTTCATAGACATAAGCAGTATGCAACACTAGTCAGAAGTGGAATGCCCATTAAAAGAAGATTGAGAAGATTGAATTGAAGAAAACAGGAAGGGAAATATATAGAAATTGGGAATCGAAAGAATCATGAAGGATGAAAAGGAAAATTGACGGAAGATGTGCAATGTATGGTTTTCATATTCTAGGAAGGCATTCTTTAATTTCATATCTAGTAACACTGGTTTTTCCCGTCAAGTATTCATTCACTGCACCTATACTCCAGTGAAGCCTGAATATCATTACCAATGTTTAGTACAAAAGTTTCAGTCATAATTTTGTTGCAATGTTGGGCTGAGGGTGGTAAGATCGTAGGCATCCATCGAACCTAGTCTTAAAAACAGAACGGTTCACCACTATCTACGGAATGAGACAACTTATACTCGAAACGTTATTAAAGCATAGAAGAGATGTGATAGGTCAAAAACTTTATTTTTCAGCAACATCAAATCTTTAACAGTTTTTAACTGACCAGGTTCATAATTGCACGAGTATGACCAAACGACAAGCTTCTGCAGACACTAGGTAAAATGAACTTCAGTGAGGCCAATTAGGAAGTAGTGTCAATACGGAATCCCTTCTGGCATTATTATTAACACGCTTCCATATAATTATGGTTCGGTGAGAATACGAATTTGTGAACACAGAATTTTACGTCACTGAAGACAGACCTTAGTGGCTGTTGTATTTCTCATCTGTCGAATGCAGGTACATCACTCAGTTAAAGCACCACATCAAATAGCCCAATTGAATATTAGACAAGGGGATCTGCGCTTTTGTTCCTTTAGTAGTGACAAACTCAACAAACGTTATCTTGTAATTACATTAAGTCTTTTATATAAAATGTAAGGTTGACACTAGTCGTTATTCCACATGAGATTAAAACTAAGGTACACACAGACATAGAGAATCTACTCAGCATAAGTTGAACAGAACTGTAGAACGTTTTTAAATGGTTTGTCTCAGGAAATGACAGATTTTGACATTTTTACGGATTTAATGTAAAAGAGTCAATCCGTTGCTCGCTTCTAATGAAATATTCGTCTCCAAAATGTTTATATCGTTCAGTCCTGATTTTACCAGAAAGAACGTTCCCATAACTTTAAAACTCACGCTACTGAAGCGGCAAACAAATCTCCAAAATAAGTTGTTTCGTAAGTCTTCGACGCCTGGTGCTGACGTCATTGGTTTTGATGGATACATCTAGGTGGAGACGCTCGGTCAAGCATCCTCACTAGATCATGAGCAGGTACATTTTGCTACGCATCTCCTGCAGCCATTAACCAGCTTAGAATAAACGCTTCTCGGCATATATCGTTAACCTTTCAAATATATTTTCGAACTTCTTCAATTCTGAATTTTGATTTGGTTGACATACTCCGATTACAGAGGTGTTATTGGGAAAGGCGTTTCCAAGCTCCAAATACTTGTGACATCTTTAGTACCATTTGAAAGGTTGGAAGCTATTCATCTGTCTTTATTGTAAGTGGTGAAGGACAAAACCCACCAGTGATTACAGAACACGAATACAGTTTTAAAACACGTGAAAATAATTTGAAAACCTTGTAGCCTGGAGTCGAGTCACGATTGACTATGAACACCACTACAAGACTACGTTCCAGTTAACCAATAAAATCCCCGTAGGTCAATATCAAAAGGCAGATGATGGCTGTAGTCGAGATGTATTTGTTGGCTATCTCGTGGTATCGAGAGAATACTGAGATCGTGCCAAAGGAGTACAAGCGTGGTTACTAAGCGTAACCGAATTCGTACATGCTCAAAGTCAACGGGAGAGTAATGGCTGTCATTAGCACAGTTAAACAAAGGAGGACAGTAAAACGATCACTGGTACAATTGGTTATAGTAATAATCGTTTTCATTAAACCAATCGCGTTCTCTTGATAGATTCAGGTCACTACAAACTAATGAAAGGCAGATCGAAAAGCCTAGAATGCACTGCTTTGAAATTTCCACACATAGTTTCTGATTAGTCACCTAAGGTTCACGGCTCAAATGAATACAGTTTAAGACTTATTTGACCCTAAGAGCATTATCATTAAACATCCAAAGTTGTCTGTGGAATAACAATACTCACACAAGTGCCTGATCAGTTTCATAACCACAAGTCAGGCTCTCGGTTGGATTAACCTTAGTCATATACCTAAAGGATTTTACCATAATAAAATAACTTTTACAGGTTTTCTAATTAATAACTACCATCAACAAGTTAGTTATAACATAATTTGCAGTGAGTCAATCACTCAACATACTAAAATGACGGAAATACAATATAATCTCTCAAACAAAAGCAAAATTTTGCAATTAATTGTTTGTTTATTAATTTTCAATCATTTAGGTATGGGATGAGACACATCTCAATAGTTGTTTATTTGCACCACTTTGCAGACGTCAGTTGTCCAGCCGCTCTACCTACTCGTGTTTGTTATGAGGCGGGCTGGAGATATGCTTTTTGTTACGGTTGTATTGTTGATTGCTCACACATTAACAGTTAAAAATATTCGGGCGGATCAAAGTGATACTTTATTCATCGGCTCCATATCCGTTCGCGACAAAAACCATTTCCGTTCGGTTTTTGAGAGACAAATTAGTGATTCTCCATCTGATGCTTCCAAAGTTTATCACGCCGTACTTGGTCTTCATTCCCTTGGTGAACGGGTTTCTAACCCGGATGATGTTTGCTTTTCGCTGAACAAACCTATTACCAACCCAGAAGAAGCACTTTATATGAGTGCGAGCCACAAATTCATTGGCTCCGCAAAGTGTAAGGTGAGAATTTTAAATTTCATTCACTGAACATTGTGATCTTGTTAGACCATTTTATTTATATTTACGAATGCCTTACAAATATCCCTTTGTAAATAAAGTGATGAGTAGTGCTATAGATGACCTTAGTTTCTCAGATAGTCGTACAGTATTATTTTAAACTGTCAACTAGAACTTCTTGCCTGTAAAATTTCTCTCTCAATTTACCGCTAGCTGAACGATACCTATGCTACTATTTCGTAGCGTAGACACCTCTGTTCTTCATTTTATTGTCCTCAGTGAACCCAAAAAATTACGCTTCCCACTCCCAATTTTGGGGAAGCTACTACAGAAAATTTTGGAGAATTAACATCAAAACCTCAAAATTTTTCCTAAGCCTTGATGAAGGTCATTTGACTCTGGTGATTTTTCCAAACTTGGGAGACTGGGTTTTGTTGTTTTGACTCACAAATCTCATTGGCCTGGTGTGACGTCGAAAACTTAAATATTGCTTAGGTGTATCCTGTCATACATTGCTCATAACTGGTAGACTGCTATTTGATCAAGCTTTTGAAAATCGATTCCCGTCATATTAGGTACTTATTCAAAATACGTGAATCTCAAGACAATGTACGCACTTTCTGAAAATCGAGTTATGTCGTTTTACCTAGTTCTTACTGTCATTTACGTAAATCTTATTGGTCTAACAGCATTCGTACATGCAACTTTATTCCCGCCGTATGTTCAACGTCAAAAAATTCGTCTACAAATACTCAAAATCAGTGCATACGGTTTCGTTTCTATAGTAATCTCAGTCATTACCTTATATTGAGTCCTGTGTTAGGTTTGGCTAGTTTATTCATTCCCACAACTTTGTTATAGAAAACCCCAACCGAAAAACCCACACATTAGATCGTTAACGTTTTTCTGTGTTACTAATCGCCTTTAGCCTGATTTTCAGCAAATCCTGTCATACATGTCTAAAACTTAGGATCAACAATGTGTAAGTCGAAGTGTTTGGTTTAGCAGCCTACTAACATTACGTATCGAGTTATTGACAATCTTCCTGGTTTCCTCTGTTCATTTATAATAGACCCATGTAAGGTGTATCGCAATGTTTTTGGGTTAGGTAGGTAGTGAAGACTCATAATTAGTATTCGGAGCGAAATTTACCATACACATATATATGTATGAATTTTACTCCTTCATTTACTTTTCCTCTGTCCAAATTATTTTACACTTAAAATTTTCCCTTAGGTATCAAGTTCAGAGGTCGAGAAGTTGTCCAAACAGTTGTTGACTAAAGACATATCAATTGAAAATCTGTTTTACCTCGTTTCATCTATGAAAAATCTGAATATTAAAAGTTAGTACTCATCCAGTCCTCATATCTTTTTCCATATTAGTTGATGCTAGCCATGTTTTGTCGATAATTAACAAAATTAAAGACAAAGATACCAGCCCAATGACGTAAGTGGTTTTTTCATTAATTTAAAAAATTTAATCTAATTATTTTGTGATTA